TCCAATGGCTCAGTTATCTGTTTTTCAAAGCAGTTAAACATTTGTTCTTAGTCTACTTGCTTTTTTTCCCTCTATTTCACCAGACCTTGCAAAGACTTTTTCATCACTTACCAGAAGTAAAGGACTCCTCCAAGGACTACAGTTAGTGGCACTTGTTTCTGATCTCACAGGACATGGAACACTCTCCAGTTCTCTCTACCACATAATCTTCTACATATCTAGTGCCTGGTTTTTCATGGCTCTGCGCTGCATATATTTACTTACTTCAGCACAGAGTGAGTGAGAAAGGCTGCTATTGCAGTCTGGGATAAAGGACAACACAACACCTTGGAAAGAAGAGATATAAGCCTCTAATTAAAATAATTAAATTATACATGTTTTTGTTATTTTTTTTCATAGAAAATGTAAAGGTCTTCAGGCTGGAAGAACAAAGCTGAATGCAATGAGGGGCTAAAAACAAGTGAGTGAAGACAGCGGTTCAATATGATAGCACTGTCAAAACAAACTTACACAGATTTGTCCCAAACTATCTGAGCAACATCATTTGTCCCTTTTTATGACTTTATGGAAGTCATAAATACTTGGGTTTTTCCTCTCTTCCCCTTTCCTTTCCTCCTGTGAAAAACTCTACACATCTCAATTATAGCTCTAGGAAGGTGACTTCCTCAGTGCTCGGCACAGCCCTTTTTGTTTTTTTTCATAGCATGCAATATTTGCTCTCACCTCTTACTTCTACTCCAGATCTTATCCAAATCTGCCTTCTCTATAGCTCAGGTTTTCTGCCAGGTCCTATTATTTCCAAGATACCAACTGGCATCAAAACTCCAAAACCACTTGCAGTGTGAAATAAGTACTTTCCTGCTCATTCCTGTTTCTCAGCATCTTTTCTGACCTCCTGGTTTACTCTGACTTTTTCTCTAAGGTTTCTTAATTGCAATTATCCTCAAAAAAGAATCAACCATTTCCATTCAAGCTCCCGGTCTGAATTTTTACCGCCATTTCTCCAAGATCTTGTTCTTACAAGGCCACCTGTTTGGACTACCCATACGTCCTCTTTCAGGTTCAACAATAGCTATTAACCCTTTTTTGTCAGTTTCTTTCTTTCTGAATTTTCCCGATTACCTGTAAATGAAAAGTGAAGTCCCTTTGAAGGTATGTTGGTTGTTTCAAATACCTGCCCACATCGTAGTACATTATGAGGCCTAATGGAACTCTTTGGTTCCGTATAATATTTCTTTTCTGTCAGAGTGCATTTACACGTCCAAAGACATAAACACTCAGTATGTTGTAATTAAATAGCCACCAGAAAAGAGGACGTGTGCTTACCTACCCATTTTTTTCTTACAGAACAAAGCTGTGGAAGGCAAGAAGTTTGCCTAGGTCTGTAGCATCAGGTGCCAATGACAAAGAGTCAATAAAAGAACAGGCAGAACAAAAATGCTCTAATTTATTTGATTTTGGCTTTTTCTACCGGAATTTAGAAGGAGGCACCAAAGGTTTTCCTCAGACTAGCTCAAAAGGAAAAATTGTCAAATATAAGGAGACATGCTCTGATTATATGAAACCAAATTACAAGAGAAATTAGACAGCACTACCTAGTCTTTTGCGAGAAGTATAGCCTGCTGAGGGAAGAGAAAGGACAGAAAGTAAAAACAGCTCTAGGAAGAGACATGCAGGGGTTATTCACAGCTTGGGAATCCTTTTATATCTTGATCAATCTGAAATAGAGCTTTGAAGCATATATATGCCCTGCTGAGCAACTAAGCAACTGGAAGGATAGACATTTATAAAAGTTGATGGGACTGTCTTCTTTAAGCTATATTATTTTGTCATCTCCTTTCTGAGTCAAAATAAAAAAATAAGTATTCACTAAGGAAATCCGTGTTTTTGTTTCCATCAATGCACCCCTTTAATTTTAAACCCATTTCTCTGTTTTATTCAGCTTTATTCAGTTTTCAGTCTATGTATTTTACATAGGGTTCGGCTGCTTGAAAAAAAAATATTTTCCTAGCCTGTGTCAGTGTACATCAGCTTTTCCCTTCCGATGTTATTTTTTTTCTTAAGCAGATCATGTCACCTGAATATGACGATACAAATGTTTGGGGGAAAAAACAAGCAGATATGAAGCTCCATATATGCCAGTGGTGAAAGGACATATGTATAAAGACTGCAGGCAGACCTCATCCATTCATAGCAAACTTTGGCTGAAGTCATTGACATATTTCCTAAAAGGATGTGCACATGCTAGCTCTAGCATAAAGCAACATAGCATATCTCAGGGCACAGACATACAGGCATTTTGTGAGAGCTGGTGCTGGGAGCAAAAACTGAGATAGGGAAATTGATTTTATTTATTTCGGAAGAAATGTTTATGCATTAAGAATCTGATGCAGTGGTGTATAAAGCTCAAGTTTAAACATGTGCTTACATGCTTTTGTCAATTCAGATAACTTAAGCATATTTTGGTGCTTTGTTGAATTGGGGTCATGCCTTTACAGCATTCTAACTACAGGGAAAATGCTGTTATTTCTTTTACTGGCAAGGCACAGGGAGACAGATAGATAGAACAGCTTTGAAGCAATCCCTGGCACAAAGCAGAACTAACAAGTACAAGTTCTCATGACAAGTTAAAACAGAGTTAATGGGTTCATGATGTATTAGCACCCACGGTTCAAAACTGCCTGGAAAGGTGAAACAGCAGCTGTAACTTGCAGTCCTTTCAGTGGCAGACTGGAAACAAATGTGTGCCATCTCCTGTGGGCCACCACTTCGTAAGCAAGTAGCTAAATGACCCCGTTTTCTTTTGCTGTGTTTGGAGCTACGTTACACTGCTCTCTGCTGGGTTATTTGTGGAATCATAGCATGAGGCGATTTGCATTCCAGCTTGTCTACACCATGAACCTCAGGTATCAGAAACAACTTGCTGTGAAGTAGACCAAGATGTGAACTTAAGAGTACTTCTGCAACTTTGTTATAATGTCCATATGCAAATTTTTACCCCATGCTAAATCTGAGGTAGCTTACTGTGAGAGAAAGCAATGAATGCTGACTTCACAAGCCAAAATGATGGTAGATTAAAGATGGTAAAAATCCCTTGATGTTTTACTATGGGATAAGAATTTTTTTATGGATAATAACTGCAGAATAGCTCTTGTTCTGCCAGCTTACATCTTTGTTTACCTCACAGTAGCCTGTGTGCATCCATGCCCTCATTTGTAGAGATAACAGGCTCTAATTGTACTGCTGTTATTTTAGAGGTTTAACTTCTCATGGGCATAGTCTCTCTCAGGATCAAATTTTCCTATAGCACATCACAGAGGTGTAATCACACTAGAATAGTCCTTTCCTGCCAAAAGCTTCTCCGTGCTAGGTATATACGTAGTATAGTTATACTACGTAACTTAAAAATATTCTGTAAAACATCCACTTACTTATTCATCAAGTTCCAGCCTTTGTTGCTATTTTATTAAAAGTTTCTATAATCTACACAGTTAACATCAATGCTAATAAAAATTAGCTCATAGAAAGCACACACATAAAGTACGCACTCTTTGAAACCACTTAAGGACTGGGAACTCCATTAAGGACTTAAGTTGGCAAGGTTTTGAGCTGATAAAAGGTGATCTCTATCTCACTTTCATCTCACCTGTTTCTCCCAGAAGAGAGTGTGATATTATTCTCCCTTTAGGCTCACTAACAGATGAGGAAATCAAAGTAACACTAGAGCTTCTGATTCAATGTGTGGTTATAGATAAGAGTATTTCTGAAATAATGAAGATTGTAAGTGAATACCTGCTCTGAAAGCTGGTTCTGTTTAAGAATGTACTAGCTGAAATTGTTTTTAGCAGTTTACTTTTGCACCATTAATAAGCCCCAGATCATGACGACTGAACTTCCATCTGGTCATTTTAATCTCTTTTAAAGAACTCAGCGTGGTTAGTACCTGACTTAATTTGCAGACTAACAATGATGTTGGCACCCAGTCGTCTTTGCTGCTGAAATCTAAAAATGTCCGCTCCTTGAGACAGATCAGTGGATACATGAAGAAAAGCCAGCCATCGCTTCTCACACAATTCATTGCTAAGTCTAAGTGCTGAAGGTTCTCCAAGTGTTTTTTCTCAAAAAAATTGCCTGTGAACATATATTTGTTTATGTATTTTTACTTCAAACCCTAAAGAAGAGAACGATTCCTGTTCAGGATATTGAAGTAGTTGAGTCTTAGTGAATTCATTAGAACTTCTATGCTTAAAAATAACACCCCGAACAGAAAAGAATTTAAACGTGTTTGCATATTACTTTTTTCTTTTAGAACCACGAAAGTAAAGCATAGCAACCACAGATCACAACGTTTTTTATACCTAGGCTGATGTATTCTTCCTTGTTAAAACTTAATCCTGCAGTATGTTGCTTACAAGAGGATCCTTTTAACTACATAGAGGTCCTTGACTTAAATGGGGCTATGGACTGCTTCTCTTGATCACTCACGCAAAAAGCATTGCAAGATCATGAAGATTCTCTTTGATTTGACATTTCATTTCTGTTGCATGCTCAGGAGTGGTGAATGATGTGGCTTCATGTAGTTTTTATGTCTCCCTGATCTTCAGCTATCTCTGTCGATAAAAGTTATAGTAGTATTAAGAATGTAACTGTATTGGTCTTTTCTCACATACTGACATGCATTCAGTAACAGATATTATGATTAGATATAAAAAGATGCAACAAGAATACTTGTTGTATTCCTGTCGTGTTTATGGAGGAGACACTGTAATTCCCTGAATTAGTGAAGATTTTCCCTCTCAGGGAGTCCTCGCAAGTAATCTCCAGCTGCCCGTAGTCTCCCTTGCACTACTTACAGAGTAAAAATGGTCTTTACCAAATATAAAACGTGGCTCATTATTTGGCTCATCTAATGCTATATATATATGTATATGTATATGTATATCCTTCCCAAGCCTGCTACTATTTCACTTTCACTATTAAAAATTGCTGTTTTTCTTGAACTATTTTTGGTTTGGTTTTATCTGGGTTCCACAATGATTTATGCTCAGTAGAATATGATTTTCTGTTATTTCTTTTGTTTTATACCTGTTTTTCTCCACCATCAAGTCATGCGAAGTGCAGAAAAGTACAGTCTGGGTGCTTGGATGAAAATTACTTTCACGCATTTGGATGGCACAAGCAATGATGACAGAGAGTGGAGTCTTTATAAGGTTCTTCATGGAAGTGGCCTCTTTAAGCTGATTTAACAGACCATCTGCCAGTTCATTTCTCAAGACATTTTTAATGAGCATCTTGCAACTCTCTGATAGATCTCCTACTTCAGCAATTAGAGACCCAAACTGTCTGATTTTATGGATAGACTCAGTCCTGCTAGAAACAACCACCATGTTCTTGAATTCGTGGTTTTCTTTAATCATTGATTCTATCTCCGGACAGTTTGGGGGTTTGAATTCATCATATCCATCTAACAGGAAAGGACCCTTTGTCTTTGTGCTAGTAGCATTTTCATGAAATCTTGTATGCAGATGGGGTACTGTTCAAAAAGAAGCTGATCACAGACTGTGTCATATAGTCCACCTCTTGTGCTAGTCAGGCTGATAAAGAAAACAATTTTCAAAGCAGAACAATTTTCAGAAGATCAGTGTACAGCAATTCTTTTTAGAAGAGATGGTTTTCCTTTGCCAGCTTCTCCTTCCATAATGCAGGGATTTCTCAGTCCATCCAAAAGGTCATTTAGCGTCACTTGCCCTTTCCTGCTATTATGTATATCTTTTTTCCATAATGAGACATCAGTGTAGGCGTTCCCAAATCAAAAATTATGTCAATATCACTACCCAGAGGGTGATACTTTTGAAAGCTGAAGACAAATACACATACTTTAAATCCTGCACCAAGCCATATAATTTATCTTGTTCCACTTGCCCAGTAGTACCTAATGCAAACAGATCATGCATCAGTGAATTAAGTAGTCAATGATTTTGACAACTGAAACTTGATTAATTTTGGAAGAACTATCTGAATGTATTTGTTCTATCAATGAAATGGTGATAAGCAAGAAGCATGAGATGTACTTACTGTCCACTTTCTAAGCAAGACTTAATTGATAAGGGCTGTAGCGACTCCTCTTGCGGAAGACCCGTCCAGTGTGAAGATACCACTCTGGCTCCACCTAACTACTTATTCGACAACATTTTGAACTGATCCTCTTCACGGAGTTGGATTCCAAAGAAGAGATGTGGGCTTGCACACAAGCATATGAAAGCTTACACATGCAAATACATGATGAGAGTATTAATTGACAGCTTTTATATGTGAAAAGATGGCATTTATATATATCTATTTGAAAGATATTAGAGTATTAGATAAATATTTGCAAGTCAGTAACAGTTTTTGACAGAGGGCTGAATGAACTTTTAATCTAATTATTTTTTAAACTATATCTTTTGCATTTTTATTACTTTCCACTAGTTTAAGAGTTGCTTTCATTCAGTTTAAGTTTGGAGATGAGCTTTGTTGAACCTCAGATGTAATGAAATGTAATAAAGTTGAGATTAAGTCTGAAACTTTAAAAAAAAACTAGTTCTTAAAGGGAGTTCTGGAAATTTCACATTAACCACTTCTTTAAAAAGTGTGTATATGCAGGCTAAGGAAAGGGGCTGGGTCCAACGTATTTCAAAAACAGATGGTTTTTGCGGGTGGAGTAAAGAAGAATACAAGAATTCTCTCGCAAATTGAAAGAAATCAGAGAATCCTATTTCAGCGAAATGCTTTGGTAACAAAGGGCATGCCTCTCTAGGAGTCCTGAAAGACTAGCCTAGGTGTATGCATTAAATTCAGTCATTAATATAGACCTTCAACAACATAACATATTTGCAGCCTGTGAATAGGCAGCTTCAGTTTCCAGGGAAGAGGCTTATATTTAAAAAACTCAGTACATAACCTCATTAAACTCAATATGAACTTTGTCTATAGAAGTGACCTAACTCAGTGTTCAGCTCACCTACAACTCACTCATCGCAACAAATGTTAGGATGTGTTTCACAGTCTGAACTTTCGCTACCTGATCACAGAGGATTTTCATCCTTTTACAATCTTTTATTGGATTTGGGTTCCCCTCTGTGTATCTTACCTTTGTAAAATTTCTGAGTATTCACTACCTAATTCTCTCTAATGAAACAATTCAAATCACCCATACAGAATTTGCTTAAATACCGAATTATAAAATTTTATTAAAAATGAGTGTAAGCTTTTGTGTTTTCTTCTACAATAATTTAACTTCTAACTAAAAGACAAAAACGTAAACAGTAATACTTATAATATCCTTGCAGATGGTGAAAGAGAAAAGGGTTTTGTTTCTCAAGTGACTTAATGAAGAGATAGCAGGCTTCTGAACCTTTGCTCAAAATCATGTAAATCATCATTCTTGAGGCTTCTTGTTCAGCCTTTTTGCAGACAATAGTGTTCACTTCTTCACGAGACAGTATGTTGCTAACTAAAAGGTCATCCACTATTTGCTTGACAGTGACCATTCCCATTCTTTGAATGAGATGTATTCTGTTGCTTTTTATAAGTTCCACTGAGGAGAGAGAATTCAATTTCTTACAACAAATCTAGCTCAAAGTAGCTGCCACAAAAACTGCCCTTCAGTATTCAACCTTCTTTTGTAACATAAGTGTTTTTGGGGTGCACTGAGCACCTAATACGTACACATGTGCAAACAGCATGCAGAAAATAGTGAGACCTTAATAGGAATATGGAAACGTTTATAAAAGTGTACTGTGAATGGATAGAAGGCTACTGGTTAAATAAAGGTGTAGTGGAGAAGGTATCAGTAGGGGTTTGAAATGTTATGTCTGAGATGTTGGCCAACATCACAAAAACAGGGATTAACATTTTCAGAGGAAAATGCTTTTGAAAATTATATTATTTACTGATGTATTTAAATACGGGTTTATATTTCTGGATCTTTATTTGAAAATCTTGGTGAGTTTATACAGAATATTAATTTGATTCTTCAAATGAAACCTGTATGAAGTAGTTAAACACTATAACACTCATTTTAAGATTAAAAAAAAATTATGTCCAGATGAGTTAGTTACACTTGTGCACAGGCTCATAAACTGCCCTGAACATATCCCAGGATGAAAACATCCCTGAAAAGGGAGGATTCTGTACCCTCTGGCTGGGATGGCTATGAAACACTGTCTAGACAGGCAAGTGCTCCTAGCCAAAAGGAATGTATATATGAAGTTTATCTGTTTGTAACTTGGAGAAAGTACACGTTCTCAGCTCCCCAAACAGCCTATATCTGGCAAAACCATTTTTGAATAGCCAGTTGAAGGTGAAGGTATAATGGAGGCAGTATAGGACAAGAAAGACAGCCTTTTCAGGGATCTGTTTAAGGAATTTAAGCTTCTGTATAGTTGTGGGGAAAAGGAAAAAATTAGTCTTTACAAGTCTGAAATCATCTACAATATTTTGGAATAAGCTCTAGAGGTGACTTTAAGATAGGTTATACATTGAGCTCAGAAAAATGTTTTGTCAGAAAAAACGATTAATTCAAAAATTTCTAAATGTAATAAGTTGAAATAGAACATTTTGATTCTCTCTAAAGGTTTCCTGTAAAAACTTTTAGATTAAGACTTCTTACAATGTTAATGAACAGCCATAATATATAAGTAGTACATAAATGTAGCAATTAAAATGGACTGCTTTGTAAAAAGACATTTTCCTTTTCAGGTTATTAATTTATTACTATTTACATCTAACATTGAATAAACTGTAGTTGTAAAAATCTTACTTGTTCAGACTGAGAGTTTTAAAGCTTGAACTATGCATCAGAGAATATAATATCCTGACTGAAAAACAAAACGAGTCAAGAGGTTGAATACTCCAGATATTACTATCTTTTATCCCCCGTTGAGAAAAAAAAAAGACTTTTCGTGAAATGCTGATCTAAAACAGGTCAGATAGATACAACTATATCCTGTCCAGGTGAATGGACTGAAAGTACTTCGATTCAGCATCATGCATTTTAAACCATGATTCAAATCAATAAGCAGGAAATCCCAATTTTAGCAACTGATTTTAACTTTTACACTTTAAATATTCTTCTAAGAAGCAGATCATTCTCAAAGACTAGCATAATAATTTAAATATATCCTTTATATTTGGTCATTAGTTTTGATAATCAGAAAGATATAGTTTATTTTTCACATTTACATAAACAGTTTCATAGTGTAATGCATATTTGCAGATTCTTGCTTTTTCCATTTTTATCATTAAGGATGTGAATGAGGCATACCTTTTTTTTTTTTTTTTTTTTCTTTGAGTAATGCCAAGATAGAAATTGTAATCAAGGTAAGAGTTTATTACAAAAATAACATTTAAAAGCATGTATTTATTACATAAAATTAAATAAAGCTACCTTAAATAAAATTACTTAATCTTAATAGATACAACTGAGAAAATAAATTATACTTGTGAAAATATGTAGCAGATCACATTAAAAGTCCATCAAGTTCAGTATCCTCTCTCCAGCAATGCCCTCTATGAGATGTTCCACTCCTTGGGATCTTTTCCATTTTTGTTCTGTCCTTTCTGAGATGGAGTGCTAGAACAGAACACAGTAATAAAGTACAAGTGCACTATGGATTTATACAGGCCCATAATATTGTTCTCTCTTTCATTCTTTATTATTTTTCTGATAATTTCTCCTATTTGATTTTTGACTTAAACTGAGCATTGAGCAGATATTTTCATAGACCTATCAGTTTTAACTCCCAGGTCTCATTTCTAAGTGTTAATCACCATCCTCGTGTATGTAAAACCATGATTTTTAAGAACTTAGCAGTATACTGAACGAAAAATCCTGTTTGTTTAGACAAGTTTTTTTTTTATTTCTTAAAATACTGAAATGCCAATTGTAGAAGCACAATCTACTGACAGTAACCTTCTCCAAGGCAACACTTAAATATTCTAAAGCTTCTAGAATTCACAATGGTCTCACTTCTTCCCATAACTTGGAATTACATTACACGTTGGATGCTTCAATCTGACAGCCTTAAGCACACAGAAATAATGGCCAGTTTGGAAAATAGGACTTTGAGAATGATAGATGTATTTCTTTCTCATCTTTACGTAGTAATAGTACTACTTAGTACTACTTAGTTACCAGTACACAAAACAGTTAAATGTTAATAATTAGTAGTAATTAATAATAATAAATAGTAGTATACTAGATTACTACTTAGCAGTAAGTTCAGGAGAACTATTCTGTTTTACAGGGCTGAAAACTAACTAACTACAGTGCTAATTAGAACTTGCTCCTGTAAAAAGTATCACCATATATATTACACCTTTCCTAAAAGCTTTTCTAAGCAAATGTCACACAGGCTTTGTTTAAAGAAACTATTAAAATAAATTGCTGCAAATTCCCCACTGTCAGACAAAGGCACCTAGAGATTCTTAGAGAGAAACTTTTATATTAAAATAAAGTTAAAATATCTCTGAACATTCTTCTTTACAAATATTAAAGAAGTAGTAAGAAAGAAAACCATTTACTGACATCAGTTTGCTGTCAGTAAAAAGACTCTCTCAATAAGAAGCATATTCTCCTAGAGCTTGTCAAAAACTGACTACGCATTATCTGCAGGTTCCTTCTCTGCAAGTTTATGTCTTATGCAATTGCTTAATGTCCTGTTTGCAGAAATAATATGTTGCGCAGTACCTTGGTATTGCCAGAAATATGTGGAAATACATCACTGTTCTTTGATCGGAAGCAGGTTCCCATTCATAAATTCCAAATTCCACTATTTGGAATTTTAGGACATAGCAGTTATCAAAAACCTTCAGCCCAGGGTTAATAGTCAAGTTAATAAATACTTCCCTGCCTGTAGGAATAAATGTTTCTACTAGGCATATACATCATTCGCTCTTTAATGGTTCCATAAAAAGATGATACCTTCAATTCAGGAGTGAGAGGTTCACCGCAGGATCCTATTTATATACAGGCTATGACATGGAGTCCTGCTCTTCCAAGAAGATAGGACTTGTGGCTTTTATCACACGTTATAGTACAACTACCTCAAGCAACATGATCTACCTGGACAGGCCCAAAGAGAGGACCTAACAACCCTAAGTGCAAAGGTAAAAGCCATTTCAAAGTCGATGATTTATACCATTAGTATAATCATTAGCATAAACCGGTATTTCTCTGAGATATGAGGAGTACAACTCCCCAGCAACTCTGCCTAGTTCCTCTTATCACAGCAGTTGGTTTCAGACTTCCCCCAAGAAAGCAGAACAACATTCTGAACATTGATGCCTTTCCTTTTCATGCTGTAAATATTGCAAAATGTTCCAGAAAATTCACGTGCTACATGATTCTGTAATTCTGCAATTTAAATTAAACACGTTGATATGAGGGGAGAGCAGTGGATGTTGTCCACCTGGACTTCAGCAAGGCTTTGGACACTGTCTCCCATCACATCCTCCTAGGCAAGCTCAGGAAGTGTGGGTTAGATGAGTGGACAGTGAGGTGGTTTGAGAACTGGCTGAATAGCAGAGCTCAGAGGGTTGTGGTCAGTGATGCAGAGTCTAGCTGGAGGCCTGTAGCTTGAGGTGTCCCCCAGGGGTCAGTCCTGGGTCCAGTGTTGTTCAACATATTCCTCAGTGACCTGGAGGAAGGGACAGAGTGCACCCTCAGCAAGTTTGCTGATGATACTGAACTGGGAGGGAGAGGCTGACACACCAGAAGACTGTGCTGCCATTCAGAGGGTCCTGGACAGGCTGGAGAGCTGGGCAGAGAGGAGCCTCCTGAAGTTCAACAAAGGCAAGTGCAGGGTCCTGCCCCTGGGGAGGAATAACCCCAGGCACCAGTACAGGCTGGGGGCTGACCTGCTGGAAAGCAGCTGTGCAGAGAAGGACCTGGGAGTCCTGGTCGACAACAAGTTAACCATGAGCCAGTAATGGGCCCTTGTGGCCAAGAAGGCCAGTGGTGTCCTGGGGTGCATGAGGCAGAGTGTTGCCAGCAGGTGGAGGGAGGTGATGCTGCCTCTCCTATGAAGAAAGACTGCAAGAGCTGGGCCTGTTCAGCCTGGAGAAGAGAAGACTGAGAGGGGATCCCATCAACGTGTACAAGTATCTGAAGGGAGGGTGTCAAGAGGACGGGGCCAGCCTCTTCTCTGTGGTGCCCAGTGACAGGACAAGAGGCAACGGGCAGAAACTGAAACGCAGGCAGTTCCATCTGAACCTGAGGAAAAACTTCTTTCCTGTGAGGGTGACTGAGCACTGGCACAGGTTGCCCAGAGAGGTAGTGGAGTCTCCTTCCCTGGAGATATTCAAAACCCGTCTGGATACGACCCTGGGAAATATGCTCTAGGTGACCCTGCTTGAACCTGGGAGGTTGGACTAGATGATCTCCAGAGGTCCCTTCCAACCTCGACCATTCTGTGATTCTGTGATAAAATAACCCTTTGCAGATAGACTGTATCTGTGGCTATCTTACAAGGCATTTGTACACAGCACAATTTCCTACAGCCTTTTTAAATACTCCCTCACACAGCTTGCTATACAGTCAGCCAGAACTCAAGCAATTAATTGTCCTATAGCTAGTAGGAGTGAAGCCAATACTTGTGAACAGTTAAGATACTTGGAATGGTGGTTGTGTGCGAAAAGTTGCAAGACAATTTAAACCTCAGCAAACAAACTGCAGCAACTGATGGTTGTTCACAAAATTTGCACCTGTATTCTGGGCCTTAATCAATGAATGTTATTTCTAAAGTGCACAGAAAGGGCAAATACATAAAATGGTGAGAAATCTAGCAGTAGCAACAGGTTGAAACAAATTCCCTAATTAATACTGTCGTGGAACACTTTTTTCAGAATTCCACCCTGAACTGAAACCCGGGGCAAGGTCTGATTTGGCACAGCCAGTGCTAGAGTGCCCTTAGGCAGCACAGGCCAGGCAGGGGCCAATACATAGCTCATTTGCAAAAAGTCAGAAGGAGAAAGGAAAGGGCTAGAAAGGCTCCCCCAGGAGACTGGGTAGGGTAGTGTGTAGTTTCTGTATACCATTGTACTCATTCAGAAAAGCTGAAATTGCTCAAGCAAAACTAGGAGAGACGATGCTTCAACCTTTCAGAATGAATCATCAGTGATTCTGGTGGCTCCTTACCTAACAGCTTAAGCCTGGGACAGCTCCCAGAGAACCCATGGATCACATGTTTTGGAATTCTAAGGTAACAGACAAGAGCTACTAAAGGACAGTCACAACCCGCCATCTCATTGGTCATTTACTGGGCAAAATGAGGACATAAGCTGTGACATAGGTACTTGGTAATATGTTAGATTGATTGTCATGGATTATTACTGAATGTTACTGTATTTCCATTCTCTCCTTCTCCCTTCTCTTTCTCCCACTCAATACATAAAATAAAGAAGTTAAACCCACGTCTTTAATTGGTTGCAAGTAGGAAAATATAGTTACTGAGAACTCTTGATTTAATTTGCCAGGATTGAGTGTGGGTGTTTGGTGCTATTTTAGTGCTTCAGTGAAGACCCTAGTAAGCTACATATTGCCAAGTTTTATGAAGTAAAAGGTCTAATCACTGACTCCATTAAGAGAGAGACCCAGGTTCCTAGTTCTTCAAAGTATAGACCACATGTAGAGATATTGTGCTTGTCCTCTTGTTATACCAGGGGCTGACAACAGCATCTCCATCATATTATTTAAAAATTCATTTAGTACTACACAGGCCTCTTTGCAGGACAGTCAAAAATATGCTTCACAGCACTATGATCTGCTAGATTATGAGTGGATTGTTTGGTGATGCTTTGCAGGCTTTTGCAGAGTTGCTACTAGCAAGTCCTGGTAAAGGGGTTACCTTGGATGCAGTAGTTTATACTGTGGGAAAAGTTTTTAGATCCTATTCTATTCTATTCTATTCTATTAAAAGCTTGTGAACGAAAAAGACAATTTTTCTGGAGTGTACGTAATGCGTTGTATTCTATGTCAGACTAATCACCACATCAGATTTCCTCCTAGAAAAGGGAATTCCAGGACAGCAGTCCAGAAACCTTTCAACTGTAGGCCTGAGAGAATAGTCTGTTAGTATGTTAGGTTGAATTGACCCTTGTGGAGCCCTGATTTGGCAGAAGGACTACCAAAGGCACCATTAATACACAGGGACCTGCCATAGCAGCAAACATCATGAAAGCTGCTTGCAGGTGTTGAGAGGGAGCAAAGGTGTAAGAATAGGAAGAGAGGAGATAGGATTCAGGATAACAGAACAGATTTAGGATTGCATGTGGAAAGAAATAAGCAAATGGTCTGCAGATAACCATGACGATACAGGGAGGCGGAGCCATATTAACTGTCAATGGATAGATGGAGGCCTATCCTTTTTGCACGATCAAAAGGAAGGATTCACTTTTTCATATCCATAGTGGAAGAAAAACATTTGGGATAGTGGTTTTCCTCAATGGTCAAAGAAAAATATAAAGCCCAAAGTTATTTTTGAAAGGTTCATTATTTGCCAGCAAATCTTTTGATACCTGATTTTTGGCCTGGTGCTTACATATCTTACCAACCTGTTACAGAGGTCTGCCACAAGTCTTGGAGCAGAGCAGCTTAATCAGCACAGGCCATTAGCCAGGGACATGCATGAGCGGGGAAGCAGGGGGGACTGAGCTCTGGGGTACAGCCCCAAACTCCCCACCGCCCATTCCCATCACTGTGCCTTTGCACTACGCAGGGCCCAGGCGACTCCAGCTGGGGCAAGGCTCAGGGCGTGCTCGCACAGGGACAGCTACTAACGGCGCCGTGGAAAACCGTGTAACCGGCAGGCGGTACTGCCTGTGAGGAGGGAGAAAGACAGGCATTGCGCTTCGGAGGTTATCTTGCGGGGCGGAGAGGCTGCGGCCGTACCCGGTTACGGCGGGAGGGTGCGCACTCGCCTCACGGATGGCGGCGCCGCGGGGGCGGC